GGGATTTTTGGCGATTTTTGGCGATTTTTTTGGGAATTTTGTGGATTTTTGGGATTTTATTCCCAGATTTTCCTGTACAAATCCCTGGGAACGGCGCTGGGATCGTGTCCCGGGAAGGATTTGGTTCGGAAGCAGCTCCAGGAAATCCTGGAAAACGCTCGGTACCAGGAGGAGGAGGAGAGGGAGGTGAGGAATCCGCGGAAAAACGGGATTGGGATCCAGGAAAAACGGGATTGGGATCCAGGAAAAATGGGATTGGGATTGGAATTCATGGAAATACGGGATTGGGATCCAGGGAAATCGTGGAATCCATGGAAAAACGGGATTGGGATCCAGGGAAATCATGGAATTCATGGAAAAATCGGATTGGGATCCAGGGAAATCATGGAAAAATGGGATTGGGATCCAGGAAAAATGGGATTGGGATACAGAGAAAAATGGGATTGGGATCCAGGGAATTCATGGAAAAATGGGATTGGGATCCAGGGAATTCATGGAAAAACGGGATTGCGATCAAGGGAATTCATGGAATTAATGGAAAAATGGGATTGGGATCCAGGAAAAATGGGATTGGGATCCAGAGAAAAATGGGATTGGGATCCGGGGAAATCATGGAAAAATGGGATTGGGATCCAGGGAAATCATGGAAAAATGGGATCGGGGTCCGTGGAATTCATGGAATTTATGGAAAAATGGGATTGGGATTGGAATCCAGGGAAAAATGGGATTGGGATCCAGGGAAATCATGGAAAAATGGGATTCATGGAAAAACGGGATTGGGATCCAGGGAAATCATGGAAAAATGGGATTGGGATCCAGGAAAAATGGGATTGGGATTGGGATCCAGAGAAAAATGGGATTGGGATCCATGGAATTCATGGAAAAATGGGATTGGGATACAGGGAAAAATGGGATTCATGGAAAAACGGGATTGGGATCCAGGGAAATCATGGAAAAATGGGATTGGGATCCAGGAAAAATGGGATTGGGATTGGGATCCAGAGAAAAATGGGATTGGGATCCATGGAATTCATGGAAAAATGGGATTGGGATACAGGGAAGAATGGGATTCATGGAAAAACGGGATTGGGATCCAGGGAAATCATGGAAAAATGGGATTGGGATCCAGGGAAAAATGGGATTCATGGAAAAACGGGATTGGGATCCAGGGAAATCATGGAAAAATGGGATTGGGATCCAGGAAAAATGGGATTGGGATTGGGATCCAGAGAAAAATCGGATTGGGATCCAGGGAAATCATGGAAAAATTGGATTGGGATCCAGGGAAATCATGGAAAAACGGGATTGGGATCCAGGAAAAATGGGATTGGGATTGGAATTCATGGAAAAACGGGATTGGGATCCAGGGAATTCATGGAAAAACGGGATTGGGATCAAGGGAAATCATGGAATTCATGGAAAAATGGGATTGGGATCCAGGGAAATCATGGAATTCATGGAAAAACGGGATTGGGATCCAGGGAAATCATGGAAAAATGGGATTGGGGTCTGTGGAATTTATGGAATTTATGGAAAAATGGGATTGGGATCCGTGGAATTTATGGAATTTATGGAAAAATGGGATCGGGATCCGCGGAATTCATGGAAAAAGTGGGTTGTGATGGGAATTTACGGGAAAACGGGTTTGGAATTTATGGAAAATGTGGGAATTTTGGGAATGTTGGGTCAGGAATGGGGTTGGGATTTTCCAAGGGGGGGATTCTGGGTAAAATCCTGGAATTTCAAGGAAATCCTGGCTAAAATGTGGGAATTCCAAGGAAATTCTTGGTTAAAATCCTGGAATTCCAAGGAAATTACTGCAAAAATCCTGGAATTCTCAAGAAATTCTTCCTAAAAGCCTGGAGTTCTGTGGGAATCCTGACTAAAATTCGGGAATTCCACGGAATTCTTGACTAAAATCTTGGAAATTCCGGTTGAAATCCTGGAATTCCAAGAAATTTCAGAAAAAAATCCTGGAATTCCAAGGGAATTTCTATTAAAACCCTGGAATTCCAGGAAAATCCCAACTAAAATCCTGGAATTCCAAGGGAATTCCTGCTAAAATCTTGGAGTTCTGGGAAAACCTGGCTAAAATCCTGGAATTCCATGGAAATTCAGTCCAAAATCTTGGAATTCTGGGAAATCTCCATTAAAATCTTGGAATCCCAAGGAATTCCTACTAAAATCCTGGAATTCCAAGAGAATTTCCATTGAAATCCTGGAATTCCACGGAAATTTCCATTAAAATCCTGGAATTCCACAGAAATCCCATCAAAACTCCAGGAATTCCTTCCCAAAATCCCAAAATTCCATCCTGGAACAGCTCCAGGAATATCCCAACACTCTCAAAATTCCCAGAAATCCCGGAAAAAACTTCGGGAATTCCCATTCCAGGTTTTTTTTTTTCTTGGAATTCTGGCAGGGTTTGGCTTTTTGCTTGGGAATTTGCGCCCGGAATCACCTGGAAGAAACTTTGGAAAAATTGGAGGAATTCGTTCGATCCGACGTTTTCAAGAAATCCCTGGGATTGTTCAGCATCTTCAAGGTCGGAATTCCCGGAATTCCCAAAAATCCCGGGATTTTCCAAGCCGATCCCCGAAAAAAAATGGGGATTTGAGGGAGTTTAGGTGGGAAAATTTGGGATTTTGGGGGTTTTTTTTGGGAATTTTTGGTGGGAAATTGGGGATTTTTTTATCCCTGGGATTGGGGGTTTGGGGAGGGAATTCCTGAGGAATTTGGGGGAATTCTGGGAATTTTGGTTGGAATTTGGGGATTGTGAGGGAATTCCTGCTAAAAATCCGGGAATTCCAAGGAATTCCTGCTAAAAATCCGGGAATTCTGTCCAATTCCTGCTAAAAATCCTGGAATTACAAGGAAATCCTTCTCAAATCCTGGAATTCCAAGGAAATCGTCCTCAAATCCTGGAATTCCATGGAATTCTTACCAAAAATCCTGGAATTCCAAGGAAATCCTCCCAAAATTCCTTGGAATTTCTGGAATTCCGTGCAATTCCTACTAAAAATCCTGGAATTCCAAGGAAATCATCCTCAAATCCTGGAATTCCAAGGAAATCCTCCCAAAATTCCTTGGAATTTCTGGAATTCCGTGCAATTCCTACTAAAAATCCTGGAATTCCAAGGAAATCATCCTCAAATCCTGGAATTCCATGGAATTCCTACCAAAAATCCTGGAATTCCAAGGAAATCCTTCTCAAATCCTGGAATTCCATGGAATTCTTACCGAAAATCCTGGAATTCCAAGGAAATCCTTCTCAAATCCTGGAATTCCATGGAATTCTTACCAAAAATCCTGGAATTCTGAGAAATTTCCTGCTAAAAATCCTGGAATTCCAAGGCATTCCTCCTCAAATTTGGGAATTCCAAGGAAATCCTCCCAAAATTCCTCGGAATTCCCGGAATTCCGTACAATTCCTACTAAAAATCCTGGAATTCCAAGGAAATCATCCTCAAATCCTGGAATTCCAAGGAAATCCTCCCAAAATTCCTTGGAATTTCTGGAATTCCGTGCAATTCCTACCAAAAATCCTGGAATTCCAAGGAAATCCTTCTCAAATTTGGGAATTTTCTGAGAATTTTCTGGCAAATTCTGGGAATTTTTGGGGAAATTCCTACTAAAAATCTGGGAATTCCAAGGAATTCCTGCTAAAAATCCTGGAATTCCAAGGAAATCCTCCCAAAATTCCTTGGAATTTCTGGAATTCCATGCAATTCCTACCAAAAATCCTGGAATTCCAAGGAAATCCTTCTCAAATCCTGGAATTCCATGGAATTCTTACCAAAAATCCTGGAATTCCGAGAAATTTCCTGCTAAAAATCTGGGAATTCCAAGGCATTCCTCCTCAAATTTGGGAATTCCAAGGAAATCCTCCCAAAATTCCTCGGAATTCCCGGAATTCCGTACAATTCCTACCAAAATTCCCAGAATTTCTCCCCCCTCCACGCCCCTTCGTTTCTCCCTCAAATCCAGCCCGGAAAAAAAAAAAAAAAAAAATCCTCCAGGGATTTTTCCTTTTCCCATCGATTTTTAGGGAATTCCGGGAATTCCTGGAATTTTTTTTCCCGGTTTTTTTTTTCCGTAGGAAAGGAGCGAGGGGGAGCTGGAAAAGCTCCGGAGCGGCCTCGTGCTCTGCTACGGCCGCGTGGCCGAGGCGGCGCCTCCGGAATTGCTCAATTCCCGCTTGGAATCGCAAATCCTGAAAAATCTCCTGGAAAACGGCCACACCAAGGTGAGAGCGGGGAAATTCCCGGGAAATTCATTTTTTTGGGAATTTTTTGGGAAACTTTGGGATTTTTGGGGATTTTTTTGGGGTTTTTTTTGGGGAATTTCTTGGGATTTTGGGGGTTTTTTTTGGATTTTTTAAGGATTTTTTTGGGATTTTTTTGGGAATTTTCGGGGGAGTTTTTTTGTGAATTTTTTTTGGAAATTTCTGGGAATTTTTAGAGGAATTTTTGGGTTTTTTTTATTTATTTTGGGGGATTTTTTGGGGATTTTTTTTGGCTTTTGGGGTGATTTTTTGGGAATGTTCCAGGATTTTTTAGGGATTTTTGGGGAATTTTTTTTTT